AAGAAAGAAAGAAAGAAAGAAAGAAAGAAAGAAAGAAAGGAAGGAAGGAAGGAAGGAAGGAAGAAAATAAATACCTGAATGGAAAAATGGTCCAAGATTTTTTTCAGCGCGGCCTCCTGAATCTTGTCAGCACAGGCGGACGTTTCTGCGTCAAACTCTGCCCCCTTAGAAGACGTCGGAGCGGGCAGTGGCAGCACGTGTAGTATGTCACCAGATCCCACAGCTGACTGCAATTCGATGACTGCGGCGATGTGAAAATCGGAGATTTTGCAGAGAGAGCGAGATGAGGATGCGATGAAAGCACCATCCATGCCCTTCAGCAACCACACGAAAAAGAGTAGTGATATTGAACGTGGCATTATAATTTGTCCAAGGCTATAGGGGTAGGAAGAAGAAAGGTGATATAAATATGAATTATTCAAAGACAAAATATTTGAATAAAAATGGCCGAACGAAAAAAAAGAAAAGAAAATACCTTGCTTTTGTTATAAGAAAGAGTTAAAAGAAATTAAGTTATATGATTTATTAATTTTTGTAAAATTTCATTGTCTTCTGTTGGTTAACTCAATAACTATAAATCCAGATAATCGCTACATAGTAGATAATAATTGATAATCGTATTTCACTAAGAACCGGGAAGAAGCTTCGCACTTCAGAAAAAGTAGATACGATTCCTGAGTATTGATTAAATATTAATTTATGTAAGCATGACACAATTTAAAAATCCCTCGAAGCGGCTATAACACGCGCGGTTTAACTTCTGTTCATGAAACTGCTCAGTGACTACATATATCCCAGTAAATCGTAAGAAACATCTTCACGAATATCCGTGGTCGATATCGAGAATGCTCATTTGTTCTTTGTGGGGCTCGCGGAGGTAAGCGGCACCGCCTCTTCAGAGGACGTCCTTAGGGCTTCGTCTGTTTGAGACTGCAATTATCGGGAGAGTAATGGAAAGCATTGCTCTCTTGTCAGTTACGAAATCGAAACTCCAGCGTTTCATTTACTCTCTGAATACTGGAAACTGTAGAGAAAATCACGTGCGCCAGATTCTAGAAGGTTGAGAAAATTAGAAGAAAGTAGGTTCGCTTTTGTGTGAGATTCTGTATATGACTTTCAAAAAACATGTGTTTCAGACTTGCAAAAGTTCAATTTTGTTTGTTAAAAGAAATCCGAAATAATTATTTTCTACTGATGCATGCAAACAGTTAAATTTAGAATTACAGAAGAAAATTACAACTAATATTATTATTGTTATCCCAAAATTATATTTTGAATCTTGTGATAACGCTACAATGTCTCGTAATGTATAATTATTCATACTCATAGGGCAGATTTTGTATTAGAAACTAGTTTTAAAATTGTTGCTCTTCATTTCATTTTCACAATCGGAAAGAATTATCTAGGAGAAATGTTGAAATGATATTCATAGCCTGACGAGTAATTATTTTAGTAAAAATTTTTGCCGGTTAAAGTAGGTAACCACAAAATTTTAACGAACTAAATCAATTCCAAAATCATTGTAACATTGTAAACTCGTGTGAATCTGCAATGATAATGCAAAAGGAAGAAATGTAATGAAAACTATCAAATCCCTCGATGTAAGATGTAAGAAGAACAGTAAATTATTATTATTATTATTATTATTATGCTTATTAAATGCATGTTTAAGATTGTGACATGTTAATAAATCGCTTTACCATACGACGTAGTGAGCAAAAATGAATACATGTAATATGTTTAAAATTAATGCAGAAATGTAACTCCAGTAGCTACTTGCAAGAGGACTTTCATGAGCGTTTGAATCCACCAGGCTTTCGCAGGCATGACTCCGCACGAATGCAGCGAGCAAGTAAAGCACAGAAAGATAAGGGAAATTATTGCCTTCATTCTGGGGTTAACATCGGTACGCTTGCCTGTAACGAAGAACGATGTTATTCCGGGAACCTGTCATGGGACAACGCTGGTGTATAATTTAAGTTCACTAATCAATTCATGAAGCATTCTTCAGACAATTTACTGTCGGTATTAAGCTGCGTACGCAGCTTGATGAAGTGACTTATCACGTGATCCATGTTTGGTCTCCAGACTTAATTGCAGTTGTCAGTATCTCGAAAATCAATTGAAGAAAGAGTAGTATTCAACTGCCCTTAATACGTCGTGAGTTACTTCCTATAATTAGGCCGTTTAAAACTGAATTTCGTTCGTACATCTGAGGGATGTACTTGCATGTGGTTGATTTTATACGATTTACATTATGTCAATGAGATCATTGGAACGGGTAAATAAATCGCCAGCAATATTAATTGTTCATCATGAATGCGTCCAATGATCCGATTATGACCAACATTCACAGTTCAAGGCCACCCCATTATATCTAGATATAACGGTAATTAGCATAGACATTGTGCGAATTGGTTTATTTATACGGTCACGCGCAAAAGTGCAGTGCGCACTTACGTGTAATCACGTGTGTACTTAGTACTTGCAGATGAGAGCTCATATCGCATCACGTTACTAAAACGTGTTTATATGTGAATCGGCAAAAATGAACAGAGATCTTTGGACTTTTATTACTTAAGCTAGTTATTACCGAGTAATATTTCGCCTGTTTGTATAACTTCATTCGAAAAATAATTTACTCTAATATGAAACTACAATTTAATGTTAATTTAATAGGATCTTAATAAAATTTTTATGGTCGCGTTTTCTGGCTTGAATATAATTTTAGTTGTATTCAATCAATTATGCGTAGTATTCCCGAAAACGCATTTCAGTGGTACACTAGCTAATGTACTCGCATTTGCACAGGTGTTTATTTACAACGATAATCTATTAGGCAAGAATGGAAATGAATTCTATCTTTATTTTTTCCCGACACGCTCTGCCACTCTCCGTCCCGCCCCGCCCGCCAGCTCCGCCGTTGTTCCCCGCCTTGCTTCGACCCAGACGCCCAGCTCGGCCCTGCCTCTCCCAGACCGGGCGTTCCTCTCTCCGCCCCAACCTCCTGACAGGTCCTGCCGTGATCGCTACGGTCGTTATAGCTTACCACCATCTGCTTCGAGTAGCTGTCAACATTAGAAGCAATGCGTGATGCATACTCATGACTGACAAATTTCAGTAACAATTAGTGGAGCTAAAATGGCTCCACTCGTGTTATTGGGTTTTCTTTTGGGCCGCGGCTGGCTTTTCGATTTTCTTTCAACTTTTTTCCAATTCCCATCTCTGATTACTCACGCCGAACACAATTTAAAATATTCATGCCTTATATGGGTTTCAAACTTACAGCCTTAGAGGTCACACATTTGGACTCACTTGCTCCAAGACCCTGTCTCACGGGGACGAATCACTTGAACGTACTGTTAGTAATCGTGTTACGCTTATGGAAAAAAAAAGATAAAACTACTAATATAACCAAAAACTGGCGTGTTTATGCATAAACGACATCTAATGTACGTATTAGCAATAAATATTTTTATCTGGATGACTTTCATGCCATTCGTTTCCATAGAAAAGTGCAGTTATTTTCGCACAGTAACAAGTGAATAGCCTTCTCAGAATTAATTATATCTACAGAAAATGTTGTAGAATATAATATTTTCACCATGTATTATTTAACAGAATGGTTAAATCTACTTTCCTTTAATATTTATATTGAAGAAGTTGCCTTTTTTAAAACACCACATTTTCTCAATTTTTCAAACTCCTAAAATTGAAATACGAGTTTAAGAATATTATAGAAGAGTAAAACTTAATTCTACATGAACATTTTCACTGAAATCTTTGAAGTATTTTTTGAGAAAATGTCGTTTGAGCTTTTTCTGAAAAAACAACAACAAACAAAGAAAAACAAAACCAAATTTGAGCTTATTTTCATAGACATTTTTTTTAGTTTTCGAAAAACTTCATTAAACACTAATTGCAACACTTGTACTCATAATTGCATTAAATTATAAAGAAACGCATACAATGTGAATATTAACAACGTGAAAGATATTTATAAAAATTACTGTTGTGTAATTTTTGAAAAATGCAATAATTTAATGAAAATGTCGTTTACGAATGTCATGTTTTCTGTTACTTTACTTCTGTCCGTACCAAAAGTTCGGAAAAAAATTGTACCGTTTTTTAGAAAAGTTTGTTTTTGATATATTTCACTCGCGCAAAAAGTATTAATATTTTGAGTGAACAAATTTTCATAATATTCTTTTATGTTCAAACGTACTCGTTTTTTATCCAAACAGTATCTGTTAATGAGATGGTTAAGCTGTCATAGGAAATTAATTTTTATTACATCAATTTTAAATTTGTCGGAAGTAATTTCGCTTTTAAAATGTTTAAACTTCATAGCACACAGCTGTAGAATTCCACTTACAACTTTTCACTTTGAGAGTATGCTTTTCAGCAATGATGAAACTTTGTACATCAATTATAAACTCCCACACTGTGTGTAAATAAATGAAAAATTGATATTATTTCCATTGAATAGAGCAACAAAAGTTGTACAGGTAAGCTCAGTTTCATTTGTTTAACAATAAAAGAAGAAAATATTGTATCCCAATTTAATAGTCGTCAAACGGGGTCAATACGCTATTTCACCTGTAAAGCTATAACTCTACTCATGTGTCAAGTTCCTTTGAGACATGACATTGTGGAACTTGACATACAAAATTTCATCGAAATCCTTGATGGGCGCATGGGGCAGTTTTCCAAAATTGGCTTGGGATGAACCTTTTTATATTTACAGAACAACTCTTTAATAATCATGCTCAAAAATGCATTTTAACTGAAAAATGGAGCAGAAAATCAGAAAAGCGTGTAAGAATATTTCTTATAGAATACTTCATTACCTTTCATTTAAACCCAAAATCAAAAAGATCAGAAAAGTTTTTACATACTCTTGTGCCACTACGGCCTCGTCTGTATTCATAATATTCGGCCTTGGGTTTTCTCCTTTGTACGAAGCGTAATCAGGTTTTGAATGTTCCGCGCCAATGACATTGCAGTGTTGTCAACCGTACGCTCCCGCATGTTCCATATAATAGTGCTGAGTGGTTGACCAGTGTTGATTAATGTATTTGTAAGTGGCTGAAGTATTGAGGTACTGTAATCTTTGTACTTTACATGTTTCTCTTGGGTGGAGCCATATATTTTAGTGATAGTGTGGCCATTAGTGTGAAAGTGAACGGAACACTCGGGTACAAAGCTGTTTGTGCTAATATTCCTTTGACCATAACCTCAGTCTCAGACGGAGAATACTCGTACATCCACTTAAATCGGCCGAGTGTTAATTCACTGTTATCTTGTGTACATGTGTTACTAACCACAGAAAAGTAAGCGATAACTCGACAGGGCTGACCTGTGAACATTTTAATAGTAATGCGATGTATCAAAAAAATAATAAAAAGGGTGTTTTGAATGTGATAACCTTCAATGTTTCGCTTCAATGACCTTCTGAGATTGCGGATTTGCAAAATATTAAAGTTGGGTGATCATTAGCCTTGATTGAATTGCGCACTTCATTACGTAACGTTTTATTTACTAGTCTGGTTTCGAGCGTGCACAATTGCTTTTTCCTTGATACTTTCCGGCCGGAGAGAACTCCCCTCCAGTTTTGACAGCGTCCAGCAAACGGCTTTCACATCTGTTCATATCTGCGCTCTTTGTCTCTCGTTCCGCAGATGCGAAACGTGCTACCTGTTGGCAAACAGCTGTTACGATTATCTCAACAACCTTATAAGAAAGGAGCCGTGTGTGCAGCTTCTGCAATGAGTGGAAATAAATTTCGTCTTCCTGACAGATACAATGCACAACCCAGCGTGTGGTAAGCAATAATAATTAGTGGTGTAATGTGAGTTGAACTGATGATATGCTTTTTGTATGTCATCTTATACCCGGAATATGATTTACAGGGTTGAATATATTCAGTTGGCGTTGGAACATAAACCTTTAAATTTAGGGCAAGGTTTCCCAGATTATCCACCTCCTGATTATGTGACAAATGGTTTGGCAGAAGTTACCACAGGGGAGAATGTACTTCTGAATCAGTACACCCGAGGTTTTGTTAGTTAACATATTTTTTACTTCGTTTCTATTTTTTGTAAATTATATGTTAAAATATAAATGTATAACATTTTAATTTTTTTAAACATTCTTCTAGGGTCATCCACGTTTAGTTAATGCCCTTAGTAAGTTATACTCTCAGTTGATAGGAAGGGAAATAAATCCTCAGTCAGAAATAATGGTGACTACAGGAGCTTACGAAGCTTTGTTCAGTACTATCCTGGGTCACACAAATCCTGGGGAAGAAGTTATTATCATTGAACCATTTTTTGATTGCTACGAAGCAATGGTTCAAGCTGCAGGAGGAGTTGCTCGTTTTATTCCTCTAAAACCGGTATGATCATTTATATTAAAATTATCTTTTGTAATATGATTAGATACCCAAAACTCAAGTACGTATAAATTCTTGCATTATGGAAGTATTAAAATGTTTTCTTCTATTTTTCTATTTGTAGAAAAAGACAACTGGTACCATTATGTCCAGTGATTGGGTATTGGATCCAGCAGAATTAGAATCATTATTTAATGAAAAAACTAAAGCAATTATATTAAATACACCTCACAATCCACTTGGTAAAGTTTTCAATCAGCAGGAATTAGAAATGATTGCAAACTTGTGCAAAAAATGGAATGTTTTATGCATTGCTGATGAAGTGTACGAATGGCTTGTTTACAAGCCTTACAAACATATTAGAATTGGTGAGTAATGTATTATACAAGTATGTTTCAGTATAATCTTACAAGAACTTTGAATATGAGCTTTCTTGTAATTTAAACCTGTTCGACTTGTTTGAACTTAAGTAGTATAAAATAATGTTCATTTAGTTCACACAATTATTTTTTTGTTTCTGTGTTAAATGATCACAAATATTCATACATAGTTAGGAGTTTAAAATTGGAATAATTGAGCTCATGAACATCTTAAGGAAGATTTTTGCTATTTTACTTCATAGCTACTCTTCCGGGCATGTGGGAAAGAACAATCACCATTGGTTCAGCAGGTAAAACATTCAGTGTGACTGGGTGGAAGATTGGTTGGGCTTATGGACCAGCACAACTGATGAAAAACCTCCAGGCTGTGCATCAAAACTGTGTATACACCTGTAGCACTCCTTTGCAGGTAACTGGATATTTGATATGTTAGTTAATTCATGGCATCTCTGGCACAAAATAATTTGGGATAGGACATGAAGAGAAGTTGCAAATCTCCCTGGAATAGTAGCTAAAGCCCAATTCATATTTTCTTAGATTTATTTATTGATGTTAAAATGGTGCATGTGGTAGGTAAAAATATGTCAAGTTATGTCACAGTTCTTCACGAATTCAATAATATATAGTCTGACAAACTTAAAAAAGTCATATGCATTTTCCACTTTTTGAATAATGAAGGATGGCAATAGATGTTTGTACACATGATGTTATCATTTCACAGTTGGATGTACTGAAACTGTCTTCAATAAATAAATAAATTTTAAAAAAACAAACAATAATTAAATTATTGGATATACAAGAAAATATTGGGGGGAGACATCCCCTCCCTCCAGTGAAGCCATGATTTAATTTCTGAATCGATGAAGTTGTGTGATATAAGAATGGCGGTAGTCCGATATCTTGCATGTGATGGTGCATTTTTCGTGACTGATTAGCTTTGAAACTGTAATACTATATGTATAATATATATTGAAATTGTCAGGATGATTCAATCAAACAGTACAGTAAACTGTATTTATATATGCATTTTAATATTTGGAAAAAATATTTCAGTGTGGAATAGATCAGAATGATACTGTTCATAATAATAATAATAATAATAATAATAATAATAATAATAATAATAATAATAATAATAATAATAAATAATAATAATAATAATAATATCAATAATAATAATAATAATAAATATTAATAATAATAAAACTATTATTATTATTATCATTATTATTATTATTACAGTTGTTTGAAGTGTTTTGCATCAAATCATAAAGCATAAGACTTTGCGGAGGTTATGAGAGTGTTTCTATTGTTTTTAGTGTTGAACATTTTCTGTTATTTTATAATTCCACAGAGTCAGGTCATAAGAATGTGTGTGTTATTGCAGGAAGCTGTGGCTCGTGGCTTTGAGTTGGAGTTAAAGAGATTGGGTCAACCAGACTGCTACTTTGTTAGCTTACCCCAGGAACTGGAAGCAAAACGGGACTATATGGCAAAGTTTTTGTCTGATGTGGGTATGGTGCCTACCATACCTGAAGGTGGTTATTTCATGATTGCAGACTGGTCTGCTCTAGGTGAGCATTTTGGCTGTTTTGTTTTGTTTTGTTATAAGGGTTTTTTGGTAATTCTACATTAATTATATTTCTCTCAAATGGTTTATTATTTATAGATTGTCTAAAATGATGTAATAATTCAGGATACTCGTTTTTTTTCTTCTTCTTTTCAATTCCTTCTTTTGGACAGAAGACCATCTTCCATCAGGTTCACAAAAAGCTGAATGGAGTTCAAATTATTAAATTTTAATCCAAGGGCTGACTTGCACTTTTTTCTTTCATTTCTGAGCACCAAGGTTGGGTGTTTCTTAAATCCTGACTGCAAATTGCTTTTGTTTTGGAAATAATTGCTTCTAAAATTTAGGCCTTGGATGGGCATTGAAGTTTTAAAGTTACATGGCAATATGATACTGTTGAACCCTGTAATACAAAGAATGGGAACATGTTTTGTCTCTTAGAGGCAGGAACTCTTATAAATAGAAATTAATTATATAAGTTTGTATGTTTTCACTTAAAATTCTTTTTCATTTTTACTATTTTCAACTTAACGTATAGTGTCTAATTTCTGTTATTGACATTAGCTTCCTCTTCAGACACAGTGCAAATGGAATTCTCAAAAAAAATTGTCTTTGACAAATCTCTCAGGGATTTTTTATTATGAATAATTTCTCTTCCCAATAAATTTGTTTGCAACTAAAAGTATATAGTTCATTCAGTGGTACTGAAACAAAATTTTAAAAGGGTGGGTAAAAAGTGGCTTAAAATATTTGTGTTATTATTTTATGACAACTTTTGACAAAGTTGACTTAGAATATGAAATTCATAAATGTTTTCAATTTTTTTCCAGAGAAAAAAGTAAATTTATCTGAGGAAAATGATCGATGGAAAGATTACCGTTTTACAAAATGGATGTCAAAGAATGTCAAACTTCAAGGCATTCCTCCATCTGCATTTTATAGTGAACCTCATAAACCATTGGCAGAAAATTATGTTAGGTATTGCTTTATCAAGGTGAGACCAATTTCATACGGTTCCCCCCCCCCTTCTTTCCACCCCTTTTTTTCCTTTCTTTCTTTCTTTCTTCTCCTTTCTTACAAATACTTATTAGGAGTAGTTTTAATTAGAATATGTAATTACACTTCTTTTTTTACATTTGTAGAAAGATGAAAATCTACAGAAGGCTGAAGAAATCTTACAAAAGTGGAAGGCATCCAGCTGAGAAGTGAACTTATTTTTCTTGCCTTGTTTATGGAGATGTGGTGATAATGGTGCTAAATCTAGAAGATGTGCAGCTGATATTTTGCTTGTAAAATACTTGTAAAATCATATTCTCCATTTTCATTCAATATAATAATATTCTGTGTATATATGTAGTTTTTCTCATTATTATTATTTCCTTATTTTTAACTTAATCAACTTCACAACTTTAATACTACGAAATGTGTATTAGTTAAAATATCTATTTAAATTAACTAGCAATATTTACAAAATTTTAGAATAGGAAGTATCCTAAAAAGAAAATATATGATATGTATGTGTATATATTTTATGAGGGTTCTAAACGTCTTGTTTTATTATGTACAGGATGTCCTGATGAGGAGAGGCATACTGAGAGTTTGTGAAATATTATTTTGGGCCCAGGCAACCCAAGATATTTGTGTCACCCCTTTCTCTATCAATTTTTATAATATTAAATAATTTTTATAATTTTTCAAGATAAATATTCTACATAGTATCAAAAGTAATTTATTTCAAGTGATATCCTTATTTCTATTCAATTAAACAGTAAATGTCTGTCTGTTGTTCACTCAACTTTCGAAAGTGTGTTTTTGCATTTTAAAGTGCTATGATCTAGTGGTGGCTATGAGAACCACTTCAGTTGTTGCTGCATGCAGTTGCAATGACAAATATGTCACCAGTGAGGCCCCATGTTTTTGTGATCTCATAATAAGATGTGATGTCACAACTGTGCAAAAAGAAAGGCTGTGCAAATTTACAGACATTTCCCAGGAATTCCCTTACTATGATTCGTTGTATTGTGATCATACTGTTTAGTGCCACTAAGTGCTAATATGTCATAAACTGTGCCTTAAAAAGATGATTTTAGCAAAGATTTCTTGAAGTAGAAAAGGTTGATTATAATGATAGTATTCAAAATAAATTATTTTTATGAAGTCTTTACTGCCACTTTGCTTGCAATTTTTTTACTAGTTTACTTAGGTAAAGGAATGATGCTTCAGCATAGTGCTTCATAAATGTAATTGCTAGGTTAAGAAATCTCTTTCAAGATTTTATAAGTTCGAAAATGGTTTTGTAAGTTCGAGCATCAAAGAACTAGGTTCACTATTTACTGCTAGTGTAAAGAGTCCTCAAAGAAAAGTTGGGATATTATCTTGCAAACAAATTCTGCTAAAAAAAAATTAATTATTATAAACTATTTCAAAGGGTCAATGGTGTCCTAGATTTCACCTAGTTTTCATGTAGGTAGTGCTGGCTCTGGGCCTAGTTTCTTTTTTAAACTAAGTCATAAAATTCATCCCATAATTCCTTGGTCTGTTATTGTTTTCATGGCCATCATTCATACTATACACTTTTGATTTTAAAAACGTATTGACACAATAAACACACATTGCTGCTCTATTTGTGTCAAATTTAAAATGCTTCAATTTATATAATTACACATTTAAAATGCACATTTGTATAATTCTGAATTGGTATTAACTTAACACATTCTTTTATTGCTCAATGCAATTTGAATTATGAATTTCTGCTTAATTCAAAATAAAATCGTGTCTTTGCCATGTTTTTAGGAGATAAAATAGGTTATTTAAACAAATCTTTGTGGCAGATATGGATTTTTTTTTAAATTCAAGAGGAAAGTGTTTCGATGAAAGTAAAGACTTAGTACTAATAACAATAATTTTATTACAAAAATAAAATATTATTAAAGAAATAAAGTTCAGAGTGGGTTGGGATAAATTTGGGCCCATGCACCCGAACAAAATTATAATAAATTAGTTTTTGGACCGCAGATGTCGAAGATCTAGAATAAAACAAATCTATAACTGGATGCGCTTCTTGAGTAAATGATATCTGTAATGTAGTTGACTTGGGTTGCCTTCCAAATGTCTGTGTCTAGCGATGAGGCATTTGTTACAAAGTAAAAAGATGGTCATCCATAGATGCATATGAGAACATGATGGCGAAAGTTCCATAAGAGCAAAGAGCAGTGAATCTACTGGCAATGTTTGAGCTATCTCTGTATGAAGTAGAATTAATTCAATTAATTATCCGTCTGACCAGACTTCATCACAGGTTTGATCCCTTCATTAACCAGGAGGTATCTGCATCAATGATTTCAGATCTAGGGGTTGCTGTTAATATCTTATAAATGGAAAGCTATGGTAACAGCTTCGCGACCTGACGCATGTAGGACTGATATTGACTAATGTTAACCGGCGTTAGCCGTGCAAACCGAGAGCAATTTCAGCTCGTGATGACACACATGCATTACAGCTCTGCATTTCTGGAAATTTTAGGCGAGATGCTGAAAACATAAAACCTTCAGGTCGGTAAGCTATGCCATCACGGAGAGGTGCCTAACATCGCACTGCAATCTGCTCGTCATCTTGGCCAGAGCCCTCTGGAGTTGCGTTTTCCCTCGGAGGCTGTGGGTTCCGGGGGTCGTCGTAGAGGGGTTGTTAGTTGTGGTAGTTGCCGCGCAGCCATCGCTAGGTGTCGTATGTGTCAAAGCCACGTTTGTGAGGGACGTCTTACAGAACTACAATCGCCTCATCGGACGTTCAATAGGAGTTTTCAGTTGTATTTGCCGCTTAGCCATCACATGGCGTCATGCCTATCAAAGCAAAGTTCGTGAGGGGTGTCTTACGGAACTGCAATCGCCTCGAAAGCAGTAGGTTGCGGGGGCGTAGTAGAGGTAGAAGGGTTTTCAGTTGCATTTGCCGCACAGCCATCGCTTGGCGTCGTGCCTATCAGAGCCATAATCATGACGGGTGTTTTACAGAACTACAATCGCCTCTGAGGCTGTAGGTTGCAGGGACGTCATAGAGGAGTTTTGAGTTGTGATAGTTGCCGCGCAGCCGTTGCTTGGCGTCGTGCCTATCAAAGCCACGGCCGTGGGGGGCGTCTTATGGAACTGCAATAGCCTCGGAGGCAGTACGTTGCGGGGGCGTGGTAGAGTGAGAGGGATTCTCAGTTGTGGTAGACGCCGCGCAGCCATCGCTTGGCGTCGTGCGTGTCGACGCCGTACGTCTTGCCGCAGCGGAAGATGGCCCCCGGGATGTGGCCGCCGTAGTGCGGCAGCATGCCCAGGTTCTCGTGGTAGACGCGCAGCGGCGGCAGCGTGAGGGGCGGGTCGGGCCGCGTCACGTCCACCGGAGCCCACTCCGTGCCGCGCCGCCGGTTGAAGTTGTGCGCGAAGTCGCACAGCGCCGAGTGCGTGTAGGGCTTGTGCGGCTCGCCGCAGCGCCCGTAGCCGAACGGCACGTGAATGCAAGCGCCTGCGCAAACCGCATGTGTGTAAAGGTCCATTCTCAAAGCAACCGTAAACATAAGCATAACGCATAGACGTAAATATTGACATAAGCGATAGACTGAAGTACTCACAACGTCTAGCATAAATGTAAGTAAAATAAGAGTTTCTATTAGCTGTGAGACATTCTAGTTTACTATTAGGTGGATGAGAGAATCAATTTCCAGGTACCGACTGTGCCCATGGCGCATATTGAGTTTGTTCGTCTATCGACTTCACTCCTATTTTGATTCTCGGTTTTGGGTTACCGTACTGTGATTGGTTAATTTCTTAGGTCTTACGTAAGCATAAGCACAGAAGCTTGAAAGCTTTTAAGTTAACGCCTTACGAGTTATGCGTTTGCGAACGCATTGTGAATGAGTCCGATTGTGGATGTAGTTCTAACTTTTATGTTAATGCCATGCTTATGTTTATGGTTGCATTGTGAATGGGCCTTAAGTGGTTGCAGTGTGCCAAGCTTAGTAGTTTATTTCCTGACTTGGCGAATGCCTTAAGATGTAGTCGTTATATACAAATATATACAAATATTGCAATATTTTTTGAATTTGAAGTTTCTTTCCGTTTACTAAATTCTAATATTTCTACAGCACAATACTACGTTTGAATGTAAGGTGTAATTTAGTAATATTTGTAATTTGTTTTCATGTGTGATAAACGTGTGTCAACGAAAATAATTCCATTGCATTTTATGTTATTTCATTCATTTCTGACAAAACTTTTTGCCCCGCACTGCTGTAATGACAGCTCACTATCTACGAATACCTCTATCAAAAATAAAACTCGAAATTTCAGAAATTTAATAAAAGTTAGACATGTGCATTAAAACGATAGGAGAATTTATTTTCTCTTTGAATTTTGATTAATCTTTAGTATACAACGGTATTTTCTGCTGTGGAGTAAGTTCTATCGTTTTAGAATTATTTTAACATACACCGAATTTCAGGAATATAGACTGACCATTAGTTTTCTCTAATTACAAGTAAATAATGTTCGAAGTGAATACCTCTTACTCTAATCAGCGTGTTACATAAGGAAACAATACATCAATGTTCTACTTTTCCGTTATCCGCTTGTTCTAGAAAGGTTTGTACAGTAGTACTGTAGAAAACCGTTCTGTTGTCGGAAAAGCTGAAAGACCTGTAGCAGGGGAACATATGGCTGGAAATAAAATTTGGTTTGATTCTCGGATGACAACGAGCACATTCTTAAGCTCATAGAAAATTATACTTGGCCAAGTTTGGGTAATCAAACCAGCGCATTGAATTTGTAATAAATGCTAACCAACATTAATATTTAAAATAATGTTTATATTTTTGCATTTCAATGAAATATATTTTGGAAACATGAGTTTCGAATTTGCAAATCACGGCTATCGTGTTCATGTGGAAACAAATCGTGAGATAAAACGCTTGGTCTTAATCAAAACTCGTTACGACTATTTTTTCATGTAGATTTACTGTATTTTTTTGATTTTAGTATGCTGTATTAGAAATGAGAATGATATCCTACTTTCAATGAATTGTGCTCTAAAACTCGTTTAGGTTGAATCCGGTCAATCTATGAAATTGGTGGATACACCAACATAGAAATGCTACGAATCTGGCTTGTTTTTAAATAGAGTCGTAGGCGAAAATAGAAAATAGTGTAAAAAAATATACCAAACGTGATTACTATTGTGTTAATATAGCAGAGTCATACCAAGAAAAATCATAAGGTGTCTTGTGACATCAGTGGTGAGATGATGTAGCTATTGTCATCTTAGATTTATTAAGATTGTTAGGTTTAAATAAATCTAAATTGACAAAGATGGCTTCCTTTATTACATCCACAGTCTTTTTTTTTCCGCGCGCGCTTGCCGAGTCGCACCTGACTTGATGTACTTCTGCGGGTCGCCGCAGTCCAAGAAGTAGGGCGAGGTGCTGTGCGAGGGCGGCTCGAGCGCGGGCTCGGTGGCCGGCGAGCAGCGCATCACGCCCGCGTGCTCCGGCCGCACGTACTCCAGCGGCAGGCGGCGGTTCGCCAGCATCGTCTGCGCATGCGCGCGCACGCGCCGCCGCCGCCGCCACGAAGCGTGAAGAGGGCGGAAGGAGGATTGTCGGAATCGCGGAAACGTGTTATTAAGTTGCTGATTTATGAGAATGAAACACTGATGCAAGAAATGCCCAGCTAAGTACTCGTTGTCCGAGGAAAATTGTATGAAAATTATGATACGAGATGTTTCAATTTCAAGGACAGGAAAGCAAGCAGTAATACGGAGGATAAGATAAGGAATCTTTTTACACATATGAATAAGGATAGGAAAGACAGTGCTACCGGGTTTTGCTGAAGTGTAATTGGAGATATATGTAAACAGGAGAAGGCATGAAGATGCATCTGAATGGTTCTGAACAAGGCCTTTCCGGGTGTTCGTTTCTTGCATTGGATAAAACTATCTAACGATTTCCTTTTCTGATTTTTTAAAATATTTATTGTGAAAAAGAGGGTTTACCGTTCTAGAGCAATGCCGCAGTTTTTGAAGTAATAGATGAAGGTTTGATTTATAAATAATATTAAATATACTTCAATCGAATGTCTTCAAAAATAATTGAATATATGGATAAAATACAATTGAAGTTTTTCATGCACGTGACTGT